GTTAGCAGGTATGTACAGGTAAGCACAAGGCACTTTAGATACTTTATAGGTGTATACAGGTATGTGCAAGGCACTTGAGGGTACTTGGTGTGTGTGTTTAGGTACGTACAATGCACTTGAGGGTACTTGACAGGTATGCATGGGTACAAACGTGGCACTTTAAGGGTTCACAGTGGGTATGTGTGGGTTTGCACAAGGCACTCAAGAGTACTTAGCAGGTATGTACGAAGCATTTGAGGCTCCTTAGCAGGCACAGTGTGTACAAGTATGTACAAATGGTAAATGGACTGCACTTGTATAGCACCTTTCTAGTATCTTATCAAGATACTCAAAGCGTTTTACAATACAATCTGTGCCTCATTTACCCATTCATCCAGCACTCTACTAGATCTCTACAAAGACTAATCAGAGCTTTAGATCACATTCATACACCGATGGGACACATCGGAGGCAACGAGGGGTTTAGTGTCTTGCCCAGGGACACTTTAGCATGTGACTGCTGGTGGAGTCGAACCACCAACTCTTGCATTGGAGGACAACTGCTCCAACCACTCAACCACAGCTGTCCCCATAATGTACAAGGCATATGAGGCACTGCGCACCCTGTAGGATCCCTGTACCGGGCTGAGTTATGTATTGGTAATAAAATGTACCGAGCTGGTTTGATTGTCAGCTTGGCTCGTTCTGACAGATGTGACTTTCAGCTCAGTTGTTGAATACTGACTGAACTGCTCTGACCGTCTTTCTTTGAACTTCTCAGTCCAATTAAAAGCCTTTTAGTAAAAATGTCTCGAAGCTTTAATAAATGGGAGGATTAAATGACTGTGAACTGTTTTCCTCTAACACGCCGGTGTTGAGTCCAATAACTGTGCCTGTTTCAGGACCAGAACATGAACGCCCCGTCTGCAGCGTGTTGTGCTGATGACGAGGAGGATGAAGAGGGGGAAGCAGCAGATATGGAAGGTATCGCCTCGGTTCTAATGTTAGTAAAACAAAGTGAGGCTCAGGAGAAATGCTGAAAATCTGCTGCTGTTGTTTTCCAGAGTATGAGGAGAGTGGGCTGTTGGAAACGGACGAGGTACGTACGGTAGGAGCTGCAGCGTAGACGCCGAGTCTGCGTTCAGTCAATTGTTTTCCTGTTTCATTTATCTGGACATTCTCGCTACTCTTAGTTTGTTAGCATTTTGGTCATTTTAGCTTCTAGCTAGCCTTTTATTTACTTTATTTGTTAGCTACCATTTAGCTTCCAGTTGTCTAGTTTTAGTTTTTCACTTAGCCTCCAGCCTTTTGATATTTTTTACTTTTAATTCAATTCAGTTTATTTCTATAACTCCAAATCCCAACATACGTCAACTCAGGGTACTGAACAGAAACATTCACAGACTTTATAAAAGTCAATTATGAAAGTTCTGTATCTGAGGAAGCAGCAGGTTGTGTTGAATCTTCACTTCATCACAGTCTCTCAACCCGAACAAGAACAAAGGAGACAGTGGAAAGAAAAAACTCAATTTAACAGGAAGAAACCTCCAGAAGAACCAGGCTCAGGACGAGCGACCATCTGCTTCAACTGGCTGGTTTGAGAGGACAGGAAGTAGAAACAGACACAGAATGACAGATCCAGCTGTACTTTCTGTAGTCCAGCTGTACTTTCTGTAGTCCAGCTGTACTTTCTACAGACCAGCTGTACTTTCTACAGTCCAGCTGTACTTTCTACAGTCCAGCTGTACTTTCTAC